TATATATACTTGTATATTCTTGTATATTCTTGTATATTCTTGTATATTCTTGTATATACACGTACACATATAAATATATATTTTGTCGTTGAATTTTCCACCACTGTCTACAGAGCTGGGTTGGGGTCCTCCTTGCGACATGTGGAGTGTGGGGTGCATAGTGGTGGAGTTGTACACCGGGAAGTGTCTGTTCCAAACGCATGAGAACCTCGAACATTTGGCCATGATCGAAAAGATCATAGCTGCTGTGGGACAAAACATCATCAAACGAGTCGGGTATGCTTGGTCAAAGAGACTGCGTTACAGTCTTTTTTATAGCGTCTCCGATATATGTTGTTGTATTTTGCTGCAATCTATATAAGAATACGTACGGGGTATATATATATATATATATATATATATATGTGTGTGTGTGTATGGATGTATTTATGTATGTATGTATGTATGTATGTATCTGCGTTTGCTTGTGTGTTTATATATATGTGTGACCGTGTGTCTTTGTGTATATAGCTGCACCTAACGTTGTATTCACATCAGCATGTATTATATTCATTTCAGCCTATAGTAGTCTGTTAACGACTAGATAATGGTTCATGATTGAATGAATAAAATTGAACTCTTAACACGCATGTACTTTGTGATATATCTACCTAACCCCATATAATAGTACATGCTTGGGTTGCATGTTTCTTTGCCAGCTCTATTCACTGATACGGCAAGTACCGTTCACCCGTGTTTTCAAAAACAATATCGCCCATAGAGCCCTAGAGTCGAAATTGATTACCTGAGTAATGACTGAACGGATGTTTCCAATGACACAAGCCGCTCATATGTGTTTATCCTACCACAACAGGGGGGGGGCGATGGGGTTTTTTAACAACAATAAACTGCTTTGGCCTGGGCCCAAGACCAATGAAGAGAGCCTGGAATACGTTCGAAAAAACTGCAAACCGTTAAAGGTAAGCCAATCAGACACCGAGACTGTATGGCGAAGCGCGGCATTGGTATACAGACTGAGTGTATCACAGTGGCCTATGGGGTTGCACAGACGGCACAGTTCGGTCCTGTTTTGTTTTATGTATTTGGGTTTGTTAAATCGGACAAGTGGGCCGCGATGCACCTGTATCAGATTCTCCCGAACCTCGGCCTTACATGGCTGCCCCAGTGCTCTCGCTAGCGTGTTTCCATATATAGTCTTTTGTGTTGGACTGGGCTTGCCTCTATCCCCAGTCCAGTCGTTTGCTTGTGTTGAAAGAAAGCCTTAGAGCTATAGTAGTGTGCGGTGTGTTTGTATACCGTGTGGCTGTGAGCCGACCATACCGCTGAGTTGATCAGACGATCAAGCTCATCGATGCCCTCGGATACAGAACTAGCCAATGGTACTTGATCTGTCAGATACAAAGTTTATCGTGTGTTTTAATAGTTATATGCTTTCTATGTACTTATTTATATCGCCCTGTATAGTCGATGATGAGAGGTCCGAAGTTTAATGTGTATTCTAATCCTTAGGCGTATATTATAGATATTTATATACTCATCTCTATCGTTCTATACAATCCATGAAGAGAGGTCCGAAGGTTAACGTATATTCTATTTCATAGACGTATATTTTATGTATTCATATGCTCATATATGTCGCCCTATG